ATGCAATTTGTTTTCTCTCGCCGTTCCTCCTGGTCGCAGCGCGTTCGGACCGGTTGGGAGGGGGGGGGGTTCTTAGCTTCACAACGCTTCCAATCTCAGTCTGCTCTGAGCTCTGGGAGCGTCAGGATCGCTGTTTCCGTGAACCTCCTGTCAGTGCTGTTGTCACAACGCGCAATGGAGAAAACTATTGAACAACGTTACGCGATCAAGCCAACGCTACCTACTACGTGGAAGTGCTCGAGAGATTAAGAAACAGGGTCGTCTGCACTCGAAAGGAGATGGCCGCTACCTGGCAGCTGCATCACGACAAAGCTTCCAGCCACACCGCTCTGCGCGTCCGGGAGTTTCTGCCAAGCAATGTTGCCCCAGCCCTCCTACAGTCCTGAACTGGCACCGGCAGGCTTCTTTTTCTTCCCGAGGATCAAGACCGCCCAGAAAGGAATCCGTTTTGAAATCACTGAATCGATCCAAACTGCCGTGACAAAGGCTCTAAACGAGGTCCCCGTCGACGCCTTCCAGGATGCGTACCGTGCATGGAAAAGTCACTGGCAAAATAGTGTGGATGCCCAAAGGGAGTACTTTGAAGAATTCTAAGGTTTGTAACGATATCTTGAATAAATTTTTCTACGAACTTAATTGCATTACTTTCAGGACAAACCCTGTACCTTCTGCGATATAAAGCCGCTTGGTCCGGTGAAAATCAACCGAAGTTCCACAGGAACATATCATCTCAATCTTCAGTGTCGAACAGTAAGCTAAACAGAGCTGTGCTTGCTGTCTGCTTCATGCCTTACTTACTCTTCGATACTGAAGATGGAGGCGATACGTTCCTCTGAAACATCGGTTGACTTTCATTGGGCTAACCGGCGTTATATCCCAGAAGACAGAACTCTTCATAGTCACCACTCTGAGAACTTCATAGCTTCAAATAAAGCTATCCCTATGACAGGCCGTGGAGGCCCACAGTGTTGTGAGACGTCGAGGCTCCCACATTTTCTAGACAGTAGGCTCACAGATGGCGGTAAGACTGTCAGCCCAACTTGCCGGCCACCCTTTACCCCCAGGAAGATTCCTGGTACACATTTCTGTTAAGAGTCTGAATCTACTCCAGGGCCTTAGTGCGGCTGGAAAGTTTAGGTAAATCGAAAAATCCAATAACCTCGTCGGGAATCGAACCCGCCACCGCCCTGCTTGTAGGATAGTGCCTCAACCAACTACCCTGTCGCATTCCCCTTTAACCTCGCTGTAGATATAGTACTGTAGAATAGTTTCAGTAACCTGCATCTTGAATAGAGGCGCAACTATTGACGTCAGCTTAACACTGGTAACACTAGATTAGAGAATTATTTTAACGTGTTTACAGCGGCCAGCTCTCTCGGTCTGGAGACAAGGTTAAAGTTTTCCTTGCGTTTAATTAATTTACCATTGGGGGCACGCGGTAGCGTAGTGGATTGAGGCACTATGCTACAAGCCGTAAGGTCGCGGGTTCGAATCCCGATGAGGTGAACTTTTTTTTTCAATTTACGTAATTCTTCCAGCCGCACTATGGCCCTGGGTGTCGACTCAGCCTCTAACAGAAATTAGTACCAGGAATGTTCCTGGGGGTAAAGGGCGTGCGACGCGTAAGGCTGACAAATCTTACCGCCATCTGTGAGCCGATTGTCTAGAAGATGTGGGAACCTCGACGTCTCACAACCCTATGGCCTTCAAGGCCTGTCATAAGGATAGGGAAACGTCCCCATACCGGGGACCTCGTTTGACGCACTAGTCACAGCACGACGTATCGGAGGGTGACTACAGATACGAACCAAAATTTTGACAGCTTAGCTTTAGATTTTGGATTTTCATTGTGGTATCAAGATCAGTAAAGGTAACAGACAGTGAAGGTCCATAGGGGTGTGAGAAGTCGAGGCTCCCACATTTTCTAGACAATCGGCTCACAGATGGCGCTAAGTTTGTTAGCCTTACGCGCCGGCCGCCCATGACCCCCAGGAAGTTTTCTGGTACTCCTTTCTGTCAGAGGCTTAGTCGACCCCCTGGCCATTATGCTTCTGGAAAGATTAGGTAAATTGAAAATATCCAATGGCCTTATCGGGATTGGAACCTGCGACCTTCGGGCTTGTAGCATATTACCTCAGCCAACTACGCTACCACATACTCCACCAACATGGTATATTCCGCCGTATAGCTTAGTCGACAGATATCAGTGTTTTGGGAGCACCAACTGACTCAGTGTTTAAGGTAAAATCTTCTATCATGAAAATTTCTCCAAAGTATTGTTACACACCCACCAAAGTCTTATCGCAGAAATGAACAATTCGCAAAGTTATTTTTTTCACACTAATACACTTTGGATATCGCTTCTAGTGTTCTAAACGTGTCCTTCAGTTAATTCTTTCCGTCCAGAGACTTCTGTTTTGTTATCTAAGGTTTGATTCCGATCGCCAGAAGAAGCAGGTGTTTGTTGTTATCAAGAGATAATGATATCTATGTTGGCAGAAGCAATCTGGCCTCCATGCATGTTAAAGCAAAGTACATTGCACATGGCACCACGCCAGGTTAAACATTCTTGAATCGAAACAACATTCATATCTCGGTTAGTGTCAAAGAGTCTGCAACTTTCTGACCAGTCACAGAAACAACGGGCTCGTCCGCAAATTTATCAGACTGTGTTTCTCCTAGCATTTGTGATGTCGGAAATGATTGTAACCCCCTAAAAAACTACGGATATTACTAAGAACCGGCAGATTTATCAGCGAAAAAGTTTTTACATTTTCCCCTAAGACACTTGATAAAAAAGTTAAAACTGTCCCTGTGCTTAAGTAATTAAGCAGTACACCGTAAAAACGTATTGGGTAATATAGATCCCCGTATTCTTGACCTCAGTACTAGTGGAAATGAGTGGTTAGTCTCACGCCCCGGCCGCTTTAACCACGGGGAAAGAGCCCGGTACTAATTGGATAGAAGGCTATATGAACGTCAGAACTGGTCTGGACTAAGTGGAGAGGAAAAAATATTTTTCTTACCGGTTCTCGACTTCCGAACCCTCGGCCGTCCAACCCGTAGCTCGTCGCCGTACCGACGAGCTATCCCGGATCCGATCATGTAAAGAGAACTGTCGGATGTTTTGAGAATTGGACGATCGTGCTAAATGTACTGAAAGCTAGACCGGTTTATTAGGCGTGTTGCTTGATATATAGGAGTGCTAGGCGCACTGGTGAGAACTAGACATAATGATACTGTTGGGAGCAATGACTGTAACCGTGCGTCCCTCGCCAAAATTATTTAATTAAGGGCATGACCAATTTATGCACTGTTTCACACCCTGAGAGACGCTCCTCCGGCGAGATACCATCCCGGAACCGTCTAGATGTAATTCAACTATTGTCTTCCTTAGGCTTAGGGTGTCACTATTGTCCCTAATGTCGCCAGTTTGCTCCTACTGTCATAAACCCATGGTCTGACATTGTGCGAGACCGGCTAGGAGGGGTTTTGAGTTCCCTGCTCGTGTGTCTTGAAGACCTATGTCCACTGGGGACAGAGGATAGTTTTTTACAGGGAGCGGAGGTGGATAGTTGAAAAGGGAGACGCAGAACAGGAAAGTGAGTTACAGGAGGGTGGCTAGAGAGTGGTGTGTATGGTCAGCGAGATGGGGGCAAATTGGTGTAAAAAGTTTAAGAGTGACGGAGCGGTTAACTTGGAGGACTAATGTAAAGATTTATCACTGTACGAAATTTTATATTAAGACTGCAATACACGGCGTGTTCTGGAGACCGCGTAGTTCATGAACCCCGAAGTGTGTTCCACTCCCATGCCCGAAGCACCCGTATCCCTGAGATAAAGAACTCATCTCGAGCAAGAGTCGTGGCAGCTGTGCGCCGGCGCGCGGCTATACAGGACTGGTAGACAAGATTAGGAATGACGACGTTAAAACCTAGTTAAATGCCAAGAATTTAGGTCAAACGCGGGATGAACAGAGAGGAAGGCTGTACACATAACGAAAATGGAGAAAACTGGAGCACGAGATTATAAATCAAACACAAATCAAACGAAAGAAGAGGACGGTCAAGGAAAATCTGGAAAATAAATTTGAGAAGTAACATTTACTTAGCTTCACTTAAGAAAGTGATTAATAAGGAGAAGTGAAGGCGTGGTGGAAATCATCCAAAAATGAAGTGAAGTAAACTGTGGTGAGAATATGAAGGGTGCGTAAGTGTAGTGATGTGGAATGAAGCGAAGGCCATGGTGAAATGTGAGTGCATCAGTTCATGACATTAAGTATTTCATTACTGTTACTGTTTAGTGTGTAGTATGTTTATTTTTTATTAATATTAATTAATATAATTGTAATTGTATTTGTTATAGTTGTAAGTGTATTTGCATTGTATTCAGTGTGTGTAGTGTGTCCTTTGTTGTTTGTGTAGTTTTATTTGCTGTGTTTTGTTTGAATGTGGTGTGTTATTTGTGTGTTGTGTCTTATTGTAGTACCACTGCCACCAGGTAAAACCCCATTTGCAGTTAAAACAAATAATAATAATAAATTACGAAGAAGAAGAAGAAGAAGGGGGTTTACTTCGGTCAGTATTTCCATGCCAGCGACCGCAATATTAAGTACGCTCTGACTTGGACATGTGATCATTTTGGATCTAGGATTTGAGCTGTCATAATACGTAACTATTAGTTTTATTCTGGACCAGCGACAGTTCATAACAATTTGTTACTCCCTCTTATAGATTCCCCGAAGTAAGTAAGAAATATTTTCGGAAATTTCGAAATTTCTACAGCTCTGACAAGACCTGACAGCCAGGAGGCTGTACAAGAAGCGAATTCATACTTTGGGTTATAAACATTTATAAGACTCGTCTTTAGACCTACAAGAACTTGTTGAAAGCATCTCTGGGAACCCTTCACGAAATAGTGGATTTGTAATGGACGCCGGGCTGAGCACATGCCATCTCTTGTAGTTCTAAAACACATTGTTTTGTTAGGTGTTCCTAATAACTGCGCCGTACAGGATATTGTTAAGGAATAAAGTTTCTATCTTATGAACATTCAGATGTTCTCAGGTAGCTCATAAATGTCGCAGGATATTTGGTTTTTTAAGTTGAAGAAAGGATTACCTTCACATTTAATTTCTAATCGCATCGGTTCTGCCGTATTAAAGACTTTCAATTTTTTCACTAGTCACTTGTATCAGCTTCCTTAGCTTCTTGCAATAACTCAGCCAAGGAGATATCTTTAACACCCACACACACAATCCATTAACATAGGGCCAATACATCCTTCCATCGCCACTTTTCACAGAAGAGTTTCAGGCAAGAACTCACCACCAAAACTTAGAGTCACTACCACCAGCCGCGGGGTTGTGGCTGCGGATGGTGAGGGTGTATGAGAGGGTGCGAGTACGAGGGCATCACCAGGTGGGGGTGCGGTATGTGTTGGTCAGTCGGAGGTTGCTGCTGTCCCTTGGCACTCCCTGTACAGGGCTTCCCGTCCCTTACCAATACAGGAACTGCCACTCTGCGAGGAGACGGCAACGTAGTGACTCCTGCACCCCCGTGGGGCCCATGGGGGTCGTGTAGTCCTTTCTCTTGCTGCGCCCGTTTCGTCTTGTACCGATGATTCTGGAACCAGATCTTCACCTGTCGGAATACAAAACATATATTCTCAAAGATTTTCAGAGCACCTGATGGCCCTCTTCTACGTTACTTGATCACAGAACACACACGAACATTTCCAGGCAGGTTATATAAGTGGAAGGATATGTGAGAGGTATGCCGCTTGAGTGCAGAGCATCGCAATTTTTGGAAAGCTCAAACATTGGCGAGCCAGGCAAAGAAGTGTAAAGAATATATCTGATGTGCAGGAAGTACGTATAGCTAATTGCAGAAGACCGAATCATCCCAATATAACCGATATATCTGGTTTGAAGGAAGCGTCACTTCCTAATTGCAGAAGACAGAGGCATTGCATATGTATATTATATCTGGTGTGCTGGAAATAGTTCACGTGTCTTGCGCCCCACGCTTCGAACAACGCTTTATAACCTCCTTACGCTGTTGGGACCTGGGCGTTGGGCGTCACTTAATGTGACTGTCCCTGCCTGTCCCTGTGCTGCGGCTCACCTGCACCCTGTTCCTGGACGCCTCCACTGGAGTTACACTGCCCTCCGTCCCTGTCTCGTGGATGGCGAGAAGTTAGGCGGGAAGGGAGGGGAATTGTGGCTGCTGGTGCTAGTAGGCAAGTGTTCTCTTCCTGTACGTCTCGCAAGTAGGGAAAATCGGGAGTAACTGGATTGTGCTCCATAATGGTAAAATGAGTTCTCATCTAGGGTTGTATGGGCCTGTCTCGGGTCGGGCAGGAGGATCCTTATGCTACAGTCACGTACACCTAGCAAATAATTTGCACTTGAGTTATTTTTTATTCACTTTTTGATAACATTGAACACTATAGTGGAACCTCGCTTAATGAGCACCTCTCATAACGAGTAATTCGCATAACGAGCAAAACAAATAGTAAAAAAAAA